ATGGTACATTGTGGTCATAAAGGGATGGACATGGTCAGAAGATGGTACATTGTGGTCATAAAGGGATGGACATGGTCAGAAGATGGTACACTGTGGTCATAAAGGGATGGACATGGTCAGAGGAATATTACAGATATTGATAAATATTACAGATTTGAACAAATACGCACAAAAACATCAAAATTAGCACAGAAACAGTACTATATAACATTTTAGACACATTCTAGACAGTTTATCATCTAAAAAAAGTTAATTTTGGGGTAAGTTACTCTTTAAATATAATGCACTGGTGAAACATACTTATCTCTGAGACAGTGTAGAAGTTGATCATTTCAACACTAAAGTAAATAAGTTGTGAGTCATCACTGGCTTTCAGTCCAACAGTTTTTTTTTTACTTTGCTAAGATATGTCTTTAAAAGGCTTCAATATTTATATACTAATAATGAAGCAGACAGTTTCTCTGAAAMCTTTTTTTTCTTTAAATGTGGACTTGCACATGAAATATAAATGGGAGAAAAAACAGTGGCAGGTTATCAATCAACTGCACAGATGTTCACAGAAAGAAAGAAAAAAACACTTAACCCTGCCTGCTCCTGAAAGCACCACGTGGGGTAAATGGACTTGACCTGTGCAAGACATATAAAAGGCCATGTGATTTGGGTCAGTGAGATGAAGGATACAAGGACCCAAAGGAAAGATGAATGAAAGCCTCCTTGATGACAGGAGAGGAAGATGGGTTGAGTTTACGTAGAAGAAAAGAGGTGATGGATGGTTAGAGTGAGCAGGAATGGAGTCACGTGAGGCTGAAGGGTTTGGAAAATGCCTCTCTTTACCCTGATTTTTCTTTTTTGTTGCAAAGTATAAAGGTTCATTCTGCTCTTTTTTTCTTCTGAGGAATAAAATCCAGAGTAGGTAGTGAATGGCTAGATTTGAAAGAAGAATATTTGATTTTCAAAAAGAGGATTTTTTTTGTGTTGCTTTGGAAAGTGAGAACTCACATGAATAGATTCTCCTCATACATTAAATCTCCGACCTGTTGAACAATAATTGAAATCACCGTCATAAACAACTTTGAATGCACAAAAATGATTTACCATGATGCATTTTCCCAAACATGTATTTACTTTTTTCAGGCTTAAAAATATGGATGTTTATTTAAGCAAAATCAAATGAATTCTTAAATAAAATGAATAAAATATGGTAATTCTTTGTCTGCCTTTTCTCCTTCTTAATGAAGAGTATAGGTCAGTCTATCATTCTTCCCTGTAGTGTTTGTCCTCACTCAGACTGCTGGATTTATTCTGGAAGATGGGACTGTATTTCTCCTTTCATCCCTGAGGCTGCAGTCRGGACATATTGCAGCCTTCTCACGTCCCCCATAAAAACTGTCAGTGGTGAGGAGTGAGGACTTTCCCAAGACAACCCAGGCTCTAATGCATTCTAATACACTTCATTATAATGGCGTCTCCCATCAACAGTATGAGAGAGTGACTCGCATAGAAATACGAAAAGAGAAAGAGAGAAGTGATTAAGTGTTTGCCTCGACAAAACCGTCAATTATCTTGTCACAGTCACAAATCTAATCAATGCCTCATTTTCTCTCGTTTTATTCGTCCCTCATTCTTTTTTTACTTTCTCCTCCTTCACCATTTCTCTTAAGTCACTCCTCTTGGAATACATTCCCTATTAAAGTGCAAACCACAAGGCATTGTGTGTATTTTTTTAATTAGATGCATTGTAGCCTTTTTCCCAAAAGGCTCTTTTTTCATTAGGATATCAGCAGGGAGTCTTATTAATCAGAGACGTTGAATCATTTGATAACAATATCTCCCACTTGGCAGTCTCGGGGCTTGTGTTGTACATGACTTGGCTTGAGCTCTCGACTCCTTGGTTAGACTGGTATTGTTCTTTCAAGCTGAGCTATTGCAGTTTGTTTTATTGCCGATATTTAAATGTGACTCTACCTGTCACGTAAAAACAACAGGGGGTCAGCAGGAGATGAGAAACCGAGAGCTGCCGTAACACCTGCCTACATCCTGGAGGATGTCTATGTGGCAGAAACAGATAGGGTCCATTTATAATATCCATTCATTTGGACAGTCCTGATTACGTTTACACACACTCACTGAGTTAAAAGTAGTTTTGTGTAGAAACTATTGATGAATGTTGCCACCACAATGAGAGGTGAGGCTGATAAATCAGATGGACACTGATTACTGCAAAGATGTCAGCCAATGTCGGGATTTAAGTTAATCTAATGTAATAGATTGCTGTAGACTTCTCTGAATATAAAATGAAGAAATGACAGGCCATTGACCTGAATCTTGGCCCACTACCTGTCACTGGAGCTGTTGTTGTCTTTTTACTGTGGTTACCTACACTTACAATGTTCAACCTTTATTTTGTTTTCTTCAGATTTAAATCATACATGAACAAAAACATCTCTAATTAATTGTCATCATCCAAATCGATCATWAGTAAGAAGGTTTTATAACAACTGAAATGTAATTATTTTTGAAGAAATAATTATTTTAACTTAATATTGTTTGATTACTTAGTGCTGTTTAAAACATGACACATTAAATTTCAACATTCTGTGTATTTTTTTTACTTTTTAAGTCCTTGCCTTTTTTACTCATTACATGAGTGTGAACAGAAACTGAACAAGGGATTTGGAGCAATAATGAAACAAATTATTATTATGATATTACATTAATTTACCACATCAACTTTTTAGAAACTTAAACTTTATATTTTCCATTGTACATTTTAGTTATCTATAATAATATTGCCATAAAGTTGAAAAAATAATCATTTATATTTTATTTTGAACAGATCAACCCTCTCCGTGGYCCCAGGGAGGGCGGCACCCTTGTGACCATCCGTGGCGTCAACCTGGGACTGGACTTCAGAGAGATTCAGAGTAACGTCAAGGTGGCTGAAGTGGACTGCACCCCCATACGTGAGGGCTACATCCCTGCTGAACAGTAGGTTTAAATGAATTTATAATAATTTAGCATTTATATTTTTATAAAACACTGGAAACGCTAAATGATATCCATGAGAAAAATATGCAGATTTTGTTTCTAACTTTGTGAATCTGAAAATGTGAATTTTTAACAAGTCCTCATGACTTTACTTGTAATAATCAGTTTTAGAAAGTTCTGGAGGTTGGATTTAGTTGACATTCAGGTTGAATTCAGACCTCGGGCTTCGTACAGGTGCAGTCTGTCAAATTAGTCTAAAGTTGCCTTATCAACAGACACAGAGCTTCTGCTCAAAAAGAAAGTTGTATTGGCCAGCACTTTCTAAGCAAACGCCGACTCAGCAGAAGTTGTATTTGAGGTCATGGAAAAGGACTGACTTTTTCCTTTTTCTCTAAAGAAAATGAAAAGGGGACATTAATGCAGAAAATGTCTTCTATTAAAATCTTGACATAAATTGACTTCTTTCTTATTAACTGCTTTTGCACACAGGGCTTTCTCAATTTTGTCAAACATTACTTTTTAGTCGATTTTTAAACAAAATGTTTTCTCTGACGTGATTTTGACTTTGTGCACCTTCACATGTGTTCAGTTCTGATTCCTATACATTTCCAGGATTGTTTGTGAGATGGGTCGAGCAGAGATGAGCCAGTACACTGGGAATGTTCAGGTCTGTGTTGGGGTCGGACCATGCAGACCTGAATTCATGGCAAAAACCACCAAATACTACTATTTTGTGGTGAGTGCATCTTTTTCAGTTTACATTTCTGTAAATACATAGTTTTCAAACATTTGTAAAATTTTTTTTTTTTTTATAAAAATACTTTATTGTAGAGTTTTTTTCTTTTTATGCACGTCACAAGTTTTTCTCCTGTGTTTTTACTGCAGAGTGCTTTTTATTTTTGCATACTTGTGATAGGTGGTCTGTGTTCTCAATATATGTAGTTTGTTTGGCTGCATTCCCTCCCGGCAGCTATTCTCTTATGTTTGTATGAGTGGTGAGACAAGACTGGCACTCACTAATGAGCTGAAGATGAGACAGAAACACTGATGGGTCTGGAAACATTTTCTGACACGAACTCATAAAAACACACATTAGTTTGTTAGGGTTTTTTTTTTTCAATACTTTGCACACAGTTACACGCTTGCATGTTCTGAAATAAATTTGCAGTTGTTGCTTTTATGTACTTGTTAATGCTGGTGTATCATTTTTACTGTTACCTATTATTGGGTGATGGCCAAGGTTTATTTCTCACATGGGGCCAGGAGCAGGATTATGGGATGTTGTGGATGAATGGCAAACACAGCAGGCTGAGATGAGAGTATAAGAAGGTCAACTGAGTTTAAAAAAATGGCTTTGTCCATCTTTAGTGAACCRTATCAGCTACTGCTGTGGCACTTTAATTTGAAAGGTTCCACCATATTAAAGTCAGTTCCTTTTGGGATCAATGAGCAGATTAGAGAATATATTTAATAATGTTAAACTGCATTTTCAAGCCAGTTTAGAGATGCATACTTTGGTTTCTTTCATATAAAATGTTTAAATTGTTTSTATTAAAACAAAATTTGCAACATTTTTGCTGCACAGAAATTAGATAAGATATATATTTTTATTATTAACTTACATTTTATACATTTTTTTTCCTTATGGCACTCTTGTTTTCATCCTTTGACCGACTTTTACCATGTAACTTCCTTCCCTCTTTTTCCAGATCCCACGCATTACGAGCCTCAAGCCGAGCCGAGGGCCAGTCTCAGGGGGAACCATCGTCAACATAACAGGCAGTCACTTGGATGCTGGGAGCAACGTGTCAGTCAKGTTTAAGGACCAGCCGTGCACTTATTTGAGGTTAGCAGAAACATGYTATAGCTGACCCTGCCAATCACACTTGAGGAGTCAATTAAAAGCTCAGTCAAAGTCAATGTTTGTCAAACTACAGGCACTTAATGTCCCTGACAGTTCTCACAGAAACAGTGATGGAATGCATTTGGAACAGAAATAAGTGCGACTGGAAAATGGGTTAAGCACTTTTTAATTACCAGTTTTCAAGTTGATGGTGATAAGGATGGTTACTGTTTAATCTGGGTGCACATGCATTTTAATGTGCAATTCTAAGTTTAGTCCATAACCCTTTTTATTCAGCTGTACTTCCTCAGCCATTTGATAATAAATCAAAATGATTTTTTAATAATTTAGCAGGTTCACCTCGAGAAATAAACAACCAGAGTTATGAGCCTAGAATGTCTTCTYGTTATAAACAGTGCTATTGAGATGGTTTTGCTATATTACATTACTAATTTATAAMATACCCCTTTAAGGTCACTCCATATGAAAAAATACACAAGTTACTAACTAATGGTATCCTGTTGTCACTTTAGGAGGGGTGGTCAGTGGCTTACGTGCCGAACCCACGCCTCCCTGCATGGCTATGGGAATGTGTCTGTGTCTGTGAGCATAGATAAGGCCCAACTCCAGAAAGACCTGCAGTTTGAATATGTGGAGGATCCCACCATAACCAAGATAGAGCCAGAGTGGAGCATCTACAGGTATGTCAGAAGTTACAAGTTCTTTATATGACAAAAGATAGGTTATTACTCTGGTAACGGRAAAATGCAGTGGATCCTATAGATGGAAATATCTCAGAAAAACAGGTGTTAGTTTCATCAAGCAAGTTAAAAAAATGGCAAAAAAATAGAACATTAAAAAAGTTTGACTGTGTTCAATTCAGTAAAATAAGTATATATGGTCTGTATTTTCTGTAATTTAAATCACTATTTGTCAAAATAAACTTAACTTTTTCCCCCATAGTGGACATACTCCAGTGACAGTAACAGGGACAAACCTGGATATAATTCAGACCCCACTCATCAGAGCCAAATACAACAACCATGAAACACTCAACGTAAGTCACTTTGTTACACAAAATATATTGGCTGACATTAATACACTTTTCTTTTTCAGTCATTTACGTTCTAGTCCTGAAATAACAAGATTCTGAATATAAATGAATTCGATAGAATGACCAGACTCAGCTGATTGAGCTTCATCATCCAGAAGGAGCTCAGAGTAGAACCACTGTTCCTCTGCATTGATAGGAGTCAGCTGAGGTCGGTGGTTCAAGCATCTGAGTAGAATGCCTGTTGTGTGCCTGTTGTGTGCCTCCCTCTGGAGAATTTCCAGATCCAGACTTGGAGAGAAGATGTATTCTTTTTGGCAGGGGAATACTTTGKCTAYGTTCCCRCTGCAGGCAAATGCGACCCAAATCTGATTTTTTCTTTGCCCCATTTGACCCATATCTGATTTTTATATGATAGTCTGAATGCAACAAATCAGATTTATTTTCAAATCTGACCCAGGCCTTTTCAGTATGTGGCATTAAATCGGATACATACTGATGTGCGACTGCAGCCTGAACACACATGTCACATTCTATCGGACTTTTTCATCAGTGAGGTGAGGGTGAAGAATCAATAAGACACTAACCTCGAGTCATGCTGTTTAAATCTGTACAGCTCCAGAACAGAAGTCCAGTTGTTTAGCTGTTTTACTTTTAATTTTCCATGTAGATAGTATGATAACGGACCATATCGATCTTAAAGTTACTCGGTCGATACTTTATTTCCAGACAGTTGCTTCGTTCCAAAAATAAAATGCTTCACCGGAGCATCCGGTCAGAGGCAGGTTCAGATATAAACACTGAACTTAACAAGCATGTCAGATAATTGAACAACAACTTTAGATTTGACGCACTAAAAGTAGCATCCATGCTATCTCTGTAAACAAACAGCTGAATGAGACRCCACGTCTTTTTCTGCGCATGCGGGTCACATCAGTGCCATGAAGAGTTCCCTCTGGAGTCTGATGGTGGTCGCATTGAAAATGTAATATGARCATTCACTCCAAAAATTGGATTTTTTTTTTCAAAAAAATCAGAATTGAGCATTAAGACCTGCAGTGTGAACGTGGCCTTTGTGATCTCTCAGGAGGAGCTGGAGTATGTCAGCAGAGAAAGGGATGTTTGAGTTTCCTTTCTGGCTGTTATCTTTGTGACCTGACCACAGATAAGCAAAATAAAATAAATGGCTAGAAGAATGAGCTGGATTTTAAAAAATAGTTCAGTTATATATCCACAGTATGTGCATTAAAGTTAGAAAGTGTTTTTGTGATTTTAGGAAAGCAATCTTTTTTATTAAATTAAGTAATTCTTGTGATATTTTAGAAGAAACTTACCAACTGCAATTAGAAAGCTAAGCCAAACCATCACTTTACCCCCAATCTTTTTTTCTTCTGTTTTTCTGAAAAATTGCCAATCTCCTCAATTCTTTTTTTATTTTTTATTTTTTGGGCAAGGACATTTTTGCATGATTTTCTTTGAYGAAAAAAAGAAGAATATTTTAACGCTGAACTAAAATTTGCAGTAATGTCTTACAAAATGATTATACCCTTTTTTATTCATTAAGACAGGGAAAGAGAAAGTAGTAGATGGTCTGTTTAATCAAAAGAAGAGGAAAACAAAATGTGGTAATGCAAGGCTCAGAGTTTATTTAATCATGTGCAGAGCATTWTCTCAAACTGCGTCGCCATAAAGTTTTCCTCAAGTCTCACTGCTGCAGTCTGAAACAGTGGACATGTAAAGAAGAATGGATCAGAATCAAAAACAGACTTTCCAAGCTTTTTAAGTGACATTTCTCTAAAATACAAGAGTTTTGTTACATTTTTCCCTGGTTACCTTCCTGTACCTGGCATGTACCATTGCATTATACATGTCAGTGATGTCCTGAAGACCTTGCAGGATTTGTCAAGTCTGATGTTCAAGGAGCCAATTATAGTGACAGGCAATAGTTTGAATGACTGCATGGCAGAGGTTATTGTGGAAATGTGAGATGTCTGTGAAGGAGACTTGTGCTGCAGGTTGATTTGTCTACATCCTGACAGGCAGAGAGGAACAGAGACACAAGGAGGATGTAAAGGGGCACGGGGCATTAAAGTGATAGATCAATCTTCTGTGGCTTATAAAACTCACTTTAAGCTTAAAGAATAAATAAATAATACGAATTGCTTCACATGTCAAATGAGAGACCACGGCAGACATAAATGAAGTGCAAGAAACAAAAAAATAGGTCTGAGACACTGTAACTGAGATGGAGCACGGTACAGAGAAAGATGAGAGGATGAGAATGTGCCAAAAAAGACAGATAAAGATCACAGGGAGGAATAACAGAATGGAATAAAGAAGTGAGGAGAATCTGAGGGGGTCTTTGTGCAGGGTAATGAAGGAAGGGTAAGGCTCAATTATCACTCCTGAATCTCCAACATCAAAGCCTGATGGTGGTGATAAAGCTCTCACTCTTTAACTGCACCTTTTTTCATTGCTCCCTTTGAGAGAAAAACACTCCAACAGATTATTTTTTCTTTAAATCTAGAGTTTGGTCTATAACAACGTTTAAATGAGTCAGCATCTTCCACATATAGATTAACMCTAAAATCTGCTGACTGAGTGGCTTACTGTAAAACATGGTTGGTTTATTTCAAATACTTTAAGTGCAAAGTTTGACCTCAAAGAAAGCAGAAATGAGCRGATTAGGAACTTTACAATGCACACAGAGGTACAGCTTTTCAAGGACTTAAATAAAAAAAAATGTTTTGCAATCATATTTAAATATGTTAGTATTTATGGAGAAGTCTTTTTGTATCCTTTAGTTGTGCAAAGTACTGAGCTCCACGTCAATGCAGTGCCAGGTCCCAGAACTGCCCATCAGTTTGGGCAGRCAGCAAGAATCACCTGAGAGACCAGATGAGTTTGGCTTCAAACTGGATGATGTGCAGTCTCTGATGGCACTGAACACCACCAACTTTATCTACTACCCCAACCCTGAATTTGAACCACTCAGTTCCTCCGGAGTTCTGGAGATTAAACCTGGTTCACCTATAATACTGAAAGTAAGTAGATTTATACAAAAAATCACGTACTTGTTTTAGTTTGTTATAACTTACATGTAATAAGTGAGTCTGGCACATTGTGTGTGCATGATGTGCTTGTTTACTCATGTCCCTCTTTTAATTAAATAAACTTAAACTTTGCAGGGCCGAAACTTTCTTCCACCAACCAACAGTGGAAATGGAAARTTAAACTACACGGTTCTGATTGGTGACAAAGCCTGCATGTTAACGGTGTCAGAGACCCAGCTTCTTTGCGAGTCACCAAACCTGACTGGTCGCCACAAGGTCCTGGTGAGTGTCACAGCCGAAATACGATGGACTGATGAGGTGTGGTGGGCATGGGAGGCAGACTTTACAAATCAATTGAAAGTTTGAGACAGATATTCCTTGTATTGCTTGTTATCTGTTCCCTTGTTTACTCTAATACAAAGTGCGGTTCTAATCCAATCAACCTTGTGGTTCCTGTTAGTACCCACATGCAGACAGAAGGCAAAACAAATAAGCCTTCAATAAGAAGAATTACAGCCCAGGCAAATTCAATAAAAATTCCATTTGTGGTTTAGAGAGGGACCACTTTGAACAAATCATATCCTGATGTTACCACCTGAACGCAGCAGCACAGAATGATAAGGACACATTACTGTAAAAAAGTTAGGAGATGCAAAAATAAACAGTAGTGTGTAGACTCTGCAATCAATCTGTCTGTCTTTAGTTTGAATCTTTACTTTACAAATGGAAAAAAAGTGAAAAAAGTTTAGTTAAATGTTCTGAAACATAGTGATATGTTTTAGTTTGATCTTTTTTCTGTTTCAAATGTGGAACTTTTTTCACCAAGTGGTATTGCTTTTGTAAGAATCAAGCACATTTCATGTCTGCTAGACAGGTTCTGATTTTTCTAGAAAACTAAATAACCTAAGTTATGTATTTATTATTAGTGCACACACATACAGTAGTTACACTCTACCCTTTTTGTTTCCGTTACAAGGCCCGTGTTGGTGGTATTGAATTTTCTCCAGGAGTTGTCCACATCACGTCTGACAGCCCACTCAGCAGCACTGCTATCATTGGCATCGCTGCAGCCGGTGCCCTCCTCATCTTCTTCATTGTGGTGGTGCTCATCGCTTACAAACGCAAGTCTCGAGAGAGTGACCTGACTCTGAAGAGGCTGCAGATGCAGATGGACAACCTTGAGTCACGTGTGGCACTAGAGTGCAAAGAGGGTAGGATGGTAACTTGAATGTTGAGTGTATGTTGATGCTTATTTTGACACAATTCTAAACTAAAAAGGTTTTTTAAGAACTAAATTTCAAACTCCCTTGTAATTCAGATCCATTCTATTTACAACTCTTAAGTAAAAAAACAAGTAATAAAGTGAAAATGTTTGTGTTTTTAGCTTTTGCTGAGCTTCAGACAGACATTCATGAGCTGACGAGTGATCTGGATGGTGCAGGGATACCCTTCCTGGATTACAGGACTTACACCATGAGGGTCCTCTTTCCAGGCATTGAGGAACATCCTGTACTGAGAGATTTAGAGGTAGGAATAAACATCACACTAACTTTTGCAATCAGACTGGATAAAAAAAATATTGTCTTTTTGAATCAATGTGCTTTCTCTCAAAACAAAATGTACACAACTACTAGCTTTTTTAATTCACTCCTTATGAGTTAATTCTTCTTGTAATAAATGTGACTTTTTTGTCTCCATCAAACACCACTTGTAAAGCAATTAGCTTTATTGGAAACAAAATCAAAAATTAGCAAACAAATTAACAATGTGGTGGGTCGCAGTAGGTGAAATTGATACTGACGTTGGTTGTTGTTGCTCTCTGGTAAACAAAAGCCCTTTGACGTCTGACAGATACTTTTTTTTTTCAAAATCAAACGAGGCAGACTTCAAATCAAAAGTGTGCTCTCATTAATATTTCCTAATGATATGAGATGCTGGGTCGTTTTCATTCTTCACCTCAAAAACAAATTAAAAATCAATCATAGGAAGAAAAGCGAAAAGAAAGAAAGAAACATTAAGTCATTTATCCTGCGTGATGACAGTGATAGACAGCTGTAATTGAACAGGTCATCTTGTTCCATTAAAAGAATGATGGACCTCCATTTCACTGCCTTCAGGGTTAACCACCCCATCCCTGATGAGAATTTCCCAGTAATAAGCCATTTTAATTACGATTTAATTGGTATAAATATCAAACTACATGAAGAGTATAATGTGGAAAAGGAGCCTAATGGAAAAAGTTGTAGGCTTGTCTTATGCTGTTGATGACTATTTAATTGTTATTGATGTGTTGGATAATTTAAAAGTCAAGTCTTGATGGTTTGCTGTGGACTGAAGTATTACAGATCCTGGAATATCTACAGTTTATAAGAGTTTTCTATTATTTTTTCTTTATATTATATTTTCTCACTTCGTCAATCCGTCCCTTTTCTGCCGCTCATCCGGGTCGGGTCGTGGGGGCAGCAGCCTAAGCAGAGAGACCCAGACTTCCCTCTCCCCAGCCACTTGGGTCAGCTCGTCCAGGGGAATCCCAAGGTGTTCCCAGGCCAGCTGAGAAACATAGTCCCTCCAACATGTCCTGGGTCTTCCTCTGAGCCTCCTCCCAGTGGGACATGCCCGGAACACCTCACCAGGGAGGCGTCCAGGAGGCATCCTAACCAGATGCCCGAGCCACCTCAACTGGTTCCTCTCGACATGGAGGAGCAGCGGATCTACTCTGAGTCCCTCCTGGATGACTGAGCTTCTCACCCTGTCTCTAAGGGAGAGCCCAGACACCCTGCGAAGGAAACTCATTTCAGCCACTTGTATCCGCGATCTCGTTCTTTYGGTCACTACCCAAAGCTCGTGACCATAGATGGGGGTAGGAACCTAGACCGACAGTGCCTGCATCACTGCAGACGCAGCACCAATCCGCCTGTCGATCTCCCGCTCCATTCTTCCTTCATTCGTGAACAAGACCCCGAGATACTTAAACTCCTCCACTTGGGGCAGGACCTCCTCCCCGACCCAGAGAAGGCACACTACCATTTTCTGGCTCAAGACCATGGTCTCGGATTTGGAGGCACTGATCCTCATCCCGACCGCTTCACACTCAGCTGTGAACCGCTCCAGTGAGAGCTGGAGATCATGATCTGATGAAGCCAATAGGACCACATCATCTGCAAAAAGCAGAGATGTGATCCTAAGGTCACCAAAAAGGATCCCCTCAACACCTTGGCGTGCCCAGAAATTCTGTCCATAAAAGTTATGAACAGAATYGRTGACAAAGGGCAACCTTGGCRGAGTCCAACTCTCAMCGGAAACRAGTCCRACTTACTACCGGCAATGSRGACCAAGCTCTGGCATCGGTCATACAGGGACCTAGCAGCCTGTATCAATGGTCCTGGTACCCCATACTCCTAGAGTACCCCCCATAGGAGTCCCCAAGGGACACGGTTGAATGCCTTCTCCAAGTCCACAAAACACATGTAGACTGGTTGGGCAAATTCCCATGCACCCTCCAGGACCCTGCTGAGGGTGCAGAGCTGGTCTGCTGTTCCACTATCAGGACGAAAACCACACTGCTCTTCCTGAATCTTAGATTCGACTATCTGACGGACCCTCCTCTCAGGACCCCTGAATAGACATTACCAGAGAGGCTCAGAAGTGTGATCCCCTATAGTTGGAGCACACTCTGTGGTCCCCTTTTTTAAACAGGGGGACCACCGCCCCGGTCTGCCTATCCAGGGGAGCTGCCCCCGATGTCCATGCGATATTGTAGAGTTGTGTCAACCAACGCAAGCCCACAACATCCAGAGCCTTAAGGAACTCTGGGCGAATCTCATCCACCTCCGGCGCCCTGCCACAGAGGAGCTTTTTAATCACCTCAGTGACCTCGGCACCAGAGATTGGAGAGTCCGACCCAGGTTCCTCAGGCTCTGCTTCCTCACGTGTCGGTAGGATTGAGGATTTTCTCACTTCATTTTTGATATTTATGGAAACAGTTTTATTTTGTTGTTTTCTCTAGAATTGAAATATTGCAGGCTTTCTTTTGAGTATAGGTGATCAAATGTATGCACTTTCTCTTCATAGTTGTGTTAAATTATGTCTATAATTTATAAAGTAATTGTAGTTATGTATATGAGGGCTAAACCTTCCACACAGTTTTCCACAAAAATATTTATTTCCACTGTTGTGCACATTCAGCATGAACAAAAAGTTCTAATACTCGAGCACATGCGAGTGCACAAAAACACTACACRTTATGACAAGTTGTATGAAATTAGACTTTCAGCAGAACAATAGCTCCCGGCAGATTACAACTACCTCAAGGAAAGGTAAAAAGACAGAACATATGTGGGCTGACAGCTGCACTGAGTGCAAAGTGACGCTGTCGTACCACGAGTGCTCTTGACAGATAAAAAAACTAATCTCCTTAGGTGCTATTTATGAAAAATGTAGAAGAGAGGCACATGCGCTAAGTTCCAAGTATAAACAAAGCTGAGATGATGTGAGCTCAGACGAGGAGAAATCACAGCTCTGCACTTCCTTTCAACTTGTATTAATATGGAACACATCGCTTTCGAAATAATAAACATTCCCTAAAGAGGTTTAGTGTTTTCCTGCCTTTATTCTCAACCTTCAGACAAAACCTGACAAAAGCTCAGGAATGTTAAAATCCTCGTCTCCTCAGGTTCCTTCTTTTCTTCCTGCACTCTATTTATTCCTGCTTTCAACCCCTGCTAGGATTTATCTGTTACCTTTAATAGCACTTTTAAGTTTAGAAACTTTACATTAATCCATTGATTTTCTGGTATTTATACATGTTTTTAATTTGTTTATGCTTTGATGATCACGTCTTTATATGATCTGAGTATTATAGTTGAAGTGACTGTGTTCTTCATGAACATGAAAGAGCTTTTCACTTAGAAAGCAGCAAGCTAAGAATACATTTGAATGACTCAGTGACTAATTAGGTCTACCTATCATTGCCTTGAATATGCCTCCATTAATCTTTCCTCTTTTTGCTTTCCTTTGTTATTTTAATGCATTTCATTTCTCTTGTTTTCTCACAGGTGCCTGGCTACCGCCAGGAGCAAGTCGAAAAGGGGCTGAAGCTCTTTGGCCAGCTCATTAACAACAAAATCTTCCTGCTGTGTTTTATTCGCACTCTGGAGGCTCAGCGTGGTTTCTCCATGAGGGACCGCGGCAATGTGGCCTCACTGATCATGACTGTGCTGCAGAGCAAGTTGGAGTATGCCACTGATGTCCTGAAGCACCTGCTGTCCGACCTTATAGATCGCAACCTTGAGAGCAAAAACCATCCCAAACTGCTGCTTCGCAGGTAATTATCAGGCTCAAAAAGAGTTTACCTTTACTAGCAACACTGCTAACAGGTGGCCCAATTTACATAGCTGACAGTGGTCATTTTCAACTTAGCTTTGAATTTTTATGTCCTTTAAACTTAGCTTTGTCCTCCTCTTAGTATGGGAATCAAGATGAATGGTTTACACTGGTTATGTCAGCTTTCAACAATGAAGTACTGCAGATGCTGTTCCCTATCTGTGACATGTTTGGATTAACTCCTGTGACCTTGAATCACTGGCTTTGTGTCAGAAACACCAGAGCGCAATGCTGTGCACATCATTAGCAAAATAATTATAATTAATTAGCACTGAATCCAATTTCAGATTGCTCAAGAGGAAAGAAATGTTCAGGTTTTTTTTGGAAAAAAATGGGAAAGAAAAGATGGTGAAAGGCTGGCTTGCTGGCACAATCACAATCCTCCCTCGGATTTGTAGTCAAAGCCTGAATGGCGTGCACTTGAACACAGCACTGTATGTGATTAAGCGTCCTGCCTGCGGTGTTGGGTAAATGTGATGATTATGGTTACTTGAGTAAAGCAGCTTCTTTAAAGCTGGTATGTGTGTGTGTGTGCATGGTGTGTGTATGCATATGAAAACATTTGTGTACATAATATGTATTTTTTTATTCAGAGGTTGTCAGTCAAATCTTGACACCCCCAAACGGTTTGACAGGCGTGTGATAAATTAAGCTGTCCATCTTTTTTTCCTGTTCAAATTCTAATTCTCCCTTTGGCTAAAAAAAAACAGTTTGGGTTGTGCCAGAAGAAGACAAATGCATAAAAAAGCAGACAGAGCTGAAATTAATGCTGCTTGTTGTACTATACAGACAAAAGTGGGCTTTTTTTCTYGTCCAAGCCTGTTTAGACTGCGAGGTGATGAAGAGAAAGATTATTGCTGTCTGAGCATGAAGCATGATTAATTGCAGTCAGATCTCTCAGAGTATGGTGCAGTCACTAAATAATGGGGTAACTGCTGATCCTGGCAGTAGACACAACAAAGAGATGGCATGTAGCGCATAGACAGAGCTGGTGAAGGACAATGGAGGCATTTTAGGCTGCTACTTGGTGCGACAATCTAACTTCTGTAGCATGGAGGCAACATGTGAAATCGGCTTTTTGATCACTTTGTTTTTGACTCACAAAAGCCTCATGTGCTGCTTCTGCAAATGCATTCATTTTTGTCATTTTYGGCATGTCAGGGTTTGATGTAAATCAGCACCAGACTCCAAATGCAAAGCTCGTCCTCCTTGATGACAGTGGAGAAAGAAGAGAAACCTGGGGAAAATGCYAGGACGCGCTGGCAGCACAGAAGGGAAAGCACATGTTCACATCACATCCACACCCAAGTTGATTTCCAAATTGTCATACATATGATTGTGATGGCCACTGATCAGATTGTATTCATCCCATTTTACCTCATCACATGTGCTTGTTAGTCCTTCATCAACTCAGCAGGCATTTCAGATTTGATATGTGAGCTATAGCACCCTGTAGTCTGTGCTGACTGCTGTGTCTTTGGTTTGCAGATGAAAATAGCCTAGATTCATAGACGAAAAGCTTGAGAGATTAAGTCAGGAGGAAGCACTCGCTCCATTTTTATTCTCTCCATAATTTGTTCTCCCTTTGCTCTTTTTTTTTGTTTCTCACTCATTTTGAGTGCTCACTGCTCACTCCTGCGTCCTCGCTGCTTAAGTTTCCAACTGTGTAACCTCATCACCGTCTTTGTTTCTCTTTTCTTGTTCTATACTAACTTTTGCTGCATATATTCCCAAGTCTTCCKTACCTCCCCCATTTTCTTGATTGCTAAATCAATGTTTAAAGTGCGTGAGCAGGGTGTCTCTGGCACAGCATCTGAGCACAGCTACCCACTACCTCCTTTTCCAAGAAATCTGTGTGTAATTGTGTGTGTGCATATCTTTCTCTTCCCTCTCCACACACCAACACACATCCTTCCATCTGTCCCATCTCAACCTGTGCTGAAGTACAACCAGCAGGCAAGCTAACTAACGCAAGCCTTCTACAACCATCTGTCGCGTTCCTTGCTGCATTCAACTCCTTTAACTTCCCTCCATGCTTCATTCCTCCATCTCTTACTYGCCTCCTCACATCACCTCCCCCCCCCACCCACCACCACCACCACCATAATGCAGAGCTAAACACCCTCTCTTTAGCCTTAAGTTTTGTTTGGCTGCAGATTAAGTATCAAAATATTAGTTTGAATTCTGGTCAGAAGACGAGAGCCCAATATGTTCATGTGTTAATTACAACATTGCTTTTCAATATGGAGGCACTGTAGGCACAGGTGGACAGCCCTGTAAACTTATAAGGAAATTTATCAAATGACAGAAAATTATAATTTTTAGTATGAGCTATAGATATTTTAATATAAGTGTATAAAGYGAGTCAGTATTATTCATCATGAATGAGTGTGAGAGACACAACCAGTCAGAGGCAACAGATGGATGAACATAGATGGTTTGAAGTTAAAACTGGCTTTTGAAGTTTGTAGGCATTTGTTGCTATTTTATTAAACAGCATATTTTATATTATTATCTAAATCATTTTTTGTCTTTATTGCTTGAATGTTCATATTTATCATTAAAGATTTTCCGTGTGCTTCATAAATATGGTGCAGGAAGATTTTATCTGCACATTTTGAAATTCTGATTGTGTGATAAAGCATCAATCACCTCCACCCCCTTCAGTGTTTCCCAGTAATCAGGGGTAACAAAATACAGCCATGGTCCCGCTGCTCCAGATCATTCCCAGCACCCACTGGCCCTCTGATGGACTGCCAAGTGGGCAAATCTGACCATGCCAACAAAGCGTGGTGCATTTCACAACATTAACCCAAACACAGGTTGTGCTGTGTCTGGAATATGAGCAGAGGAGACCGTTGGATAAGATTGTTTAAAAYGCTGTAATACCAAATGTGAACGTTAGATGTTAGAGCAGCTCCATCACAGAGTGCCGTTTTTATCACAGTTCCCCACAGAGTGTGCTACGAGTGAGAATGAGCATAAGTTAAATGGTGGGACTGTGCCAAGGCTTCTTATTACTGCAGGGTTGGCACCTCCTGCCAGACGCATGCACAGATACACACACACACAGTAGAGACTAGTCAGCACACATGCTAATTTCTGAATGCTTACGCAGTGGGATTAATTTGTGCTTTTTGCACACTAGTTTTAAAACAGCCTCACACATGTCTAGTCACACAGAAACAATAGTGGTAAGGAAGTGAAAGGAAGTCAAAATAAAAGAAAAAGGAAGGACTCGGTCAAGCCATTTATTCCTCAATCTCTTCTTCTTTTCCCATTTTCACTGCTCCTTCCTTCCTTTCCAGTGCACCACCTCCTTTTTTTCTTGCCTCTTTCATCCCTTTGATAGAAGGGCTACATTTGTGGAAATGGAGAGGATTTGGAAATGTGTGTGATTACATGATCCAGAATGGGGTGGCCAAATGGATGGAGGGCGGGAGGGAGGAAGGAAGTCAGYAAGGACACATGAAAGAAAAGATGAAAAGTGACCTTGTTGACCCTTGGATCTGTGGACAAAGCAAGGGCAGGCGAGGCGGCAAACTAAAAATGCAGGCACAGTCAGAGGCAGGAAGTTAATCCCCTCCAGGTGTTGTGCCAATGCTGACAGGGGGTACCAGACCACCCCACTGGCACATCACGCTCCCCCTCATGCCTCAATGGGGGAGGTCTTTTACGAGGCTGTTTGAATGGCGAGGGAAGGGAGGGCTGCAGGTGGCAGCCGAATCACTAAAGACAGAATCTACACACATGCACGAATGGGTACAAAGGACGTTAATCCTGAAATATTGATGTCTTTGGTAGTTTGTCGTCGAAACAGACACAAGGGTGTGTGTTTATTACAACCCACACAGCCCGGCTGCTGTCCAGGAAGATTGCTGTCAAATAGGATATCCGATCCTAGTCCCCCCCCCCCCCCCCCCCCCACCCCCGCCATCATCATTGTTGTTATTTCTGTATGCATATTAGTCATTCACACGGGATCACTCACACTGTTGGCCCTGGTCAGCAGGCTCACTCACACACACACACACCATTTTGCCACACCAGTGGAGCATAGATGCCAGGCGGAGAAGGAGAGGGAGATGTATTCATTCACTTTCTATTGTGCACGGATCGAGTGTTAGTCCAGTGAATAGGCGAGGGAGCKCTTGATAATGAGGCCAGTGTTATTACACAGCCGCTGCAGCCCCTAACAACATCAATCCACTGGGATCAAATAAAGGCTTTTAATTGCTTTGCCTCATATTAAAATCCCCGCCGCTGCAGACGAGCTGCCCTTGGCGTGCCTGAGCATAAAAGCCAGGCGAAAGATTGCCTGAAAGGCCATCATACAGTTTGTGCAAAGGCTCTCAGAGTTCATGTCTTTACAGTCATGTTTGTGTAGTAAAAGCCTATTCATTAGCAGCCGCCATCGTTTTTTTTAGCACAATATTTGACAATGATGATGAATATTTATGATGGTAATAAGAGTGTTGGGATCAAATTTTCATTATCTACTTCTATTCGCAGGACTGAGTCTGTAGCAGAGAAAATGCTGACCAACTGGTTTACCTTCCTCCTCTACAAGTTTCTAAAGGTACAGTAGTGTGGACACGTGATGACATTTTTAATACTGATAAATAACATGTTAACAAAAGTATTCTCATCCATAAAAAGTTGTTCTTGACAGCATCAATAAAATACAACCTTCTTTTTTGTAAACAAGATCAATAGAACACAAGTGCTCACATCAAACCCACCACTCTTCTGTTTCATGAAGTGAAAGAAAATAAGATCCTTTTTCTTCCATCCCTCTCCACTCATCCTTTTAAAGCTGCTGAGAGGAGAAAAATAAAAACAATGATAAATGGCCAGTTGTTGCAGTGTTTTGAGACAGAAGACTTACTGCCTTCAAGAGTCTGTCTTCTATAACATTTTTCAGTGTTTTACCTATAAAATCTTTCCTGAAGTCTAGCCTCAATCCAGCAAAGTTGCTATGCTGTGCATCAAAAGCTAGTGTAGCTTTCCAAACACTGACAGCAGTATTTAAGGTGCTTTTGGGGACATTGTTGAGCAGTTCTCTTACCAAATGTTCTTCTGTCTCCAAATGTCTTTGCAGGAATGTGCAGGCGAGCCTCTATTCTCCCTCTTCTGTGCCATCAAGCAGCAGATGGAGAAAGGCCCCATTGACTCTATCACAGGAGAGGCCCGCTACTCACTCAGTGAAGACAAGCTCATTCGACAGCAGATTGACTACAAGACGCTGGTAAGGGGTTCACCAGCCCTGGGGTACAGGGGCTAAAGGGAGATGCTTAATATGCTTTCAGGGACAAGAAGAGAGAATGGGGTGGTCATGGGTGGTTGGTCATGAGATGTGCAATGGGATACTAAGGTTGTTGTTGTCACGGTTGACATGCAGGGGGGCACGGGAGGGGCGACCTCACTTCCTATCGAGGCTAGAGCTGTCAAGGAAAAAAGCAGGACTTCTCTGTGTGTGCACAAACTGAGAAGCCATGAAGCTTTCTCCATCTGCAGCCCCTTATTCATTACCCAAATCTGCCTGTTAGACCACTCTACTGTGACATGAGTGTTTCAGCAGGGGAATCTCAAGTCTTTTTTTTYCCCCAATGTCAGATTTAATTGTACTAAGCACTCTGAAAAGAATTGAGTTCGGATACTTTCAGTGTTCATGGTGAAATACTCTGTAAATGTTTTAGGTAGGTAAGAAAACAGTGTTGCAAATGCAAATTCTTTCAAATGCAGCAGAAAAATCTAAACAGCATACATTTTTGATTARATGACCTTTTTTTCCTGCAAAACAGGACTAGTTCTTCTAGGTATATTTGTGCAGTCAGGTGTTAATAAACAGGTGCTATCATTTCTTAGGAGGTTGAAACCCAGTTCTGAAACAGAAAAGTCTGTGTAGAAGACCTAAAACTGGGCGAAGAACAGCCAAACTCTGGTATCACTTGAGGCTGTAGAAAATCATTTCATGTCGCAGGTCAAACCTCAGTTCTCCTACATTACAAATGTCTGTCTCAGTCAAAGACTTAAAAAGTCAAGATGTGCTCTTCTGTAGAAGCCAAAAGAAACTGCAACTTAAAGACACAATGGTTGGAAACAGATGTAAAGCCATTGCCGTTAAGATATCTTTTGTTTTGGTTTTTCCTCATTTTTTGTTTCTTCAAGCTGCTGCATTTCTCTGTTGAAAAGCTTTGTCTTATAAACTGAAAAAGTGTTTTGGATGAGATCAGAAACATATCAAAGAAACAAGAAATAATGTCCATTTGCTTTCTAACAAACTCAGAATAAAAYGTATTGTTGTCATCTAATTGATAAAAATGCTAAATACAGCACACCCCTCTCTTATTTGAACCAAAATACTTGGACAAAACTTCAGTGATTTTTTTTTACATTTTTTTCAAAATTGTAACGAGTCAGACCTTGACTTTGACCTGTTGCTATTTGCTTGTCATCAAGTGTCACCCATGTGCATGCTTTTGTCACAGGTGGTGAACTGTATACACCCAGAGAATGAGAAAAGCCCAGAGATCCAGGTGAAAGTGCTGAACTGCGACACAATCAGCCAAGTAAAGGAGAAAATCCTGGAYGCCATCTACAAGAATGTCCCCTATTCACACCGTTTAAAGGCCTCTGATATGGACCTGGGTAAGAACCTTTGCTTTGCTTAAATCATTRCTCGTGATATTTACAATAAGGAAATAAGTGTAAAATACAATTATTTAGTCCTGTAGTTTATAAGACATCTGATACTATTGAGCTTGTCGAACAACTACAGGTATGCATTCTTTTCTGTTCATGTGTCCTCCAAAGATTTGACACCCATTGATTTTTMGAAAGGCTTTCCCAGTCCAGCCAGCCCTTCTTAAAAGTACAAATCCTCTTAGATATAGAGAAGTATCTTTCTTTTCACCCTCAAGAGGGTTGACTTCCTGGCTCAGATGTCTGAGACGGTTCTCTCTGCAGCCCAAAACTTTTCATCGATCTTCTCTTTTGTYGACGGCTGTCTGAGTCAGATGATTGATCAGTTAATCGATTGAGACGCTCAGTGATTTCTTTCCTACAAAACCTTTCCTTTCGCTATAATGTGAAGTTATTTATCTTGCGCTGAACTAGACAAAAAACACAATGAATTGTTCATGTTAAGTATTTTAATTGTCCATAAGAGGTTTTGGCAAACTTTGTGTGAGTCTACATTGTCTGGTCGATACCTACAGGCAGTCTCTTCACAGGGAATTCTGTTTTTTATTGTTTAATATTGGCACATTTTTAAAGCCTTATTTTGTGTTCTTGTTGCACAATTTTAACCAACTCTATATCTGACAGGCTGAGCGCATACCATGGGGAATCTGTCTGAGATAGCTCTGTAAAAAGATTGGTTTAGCCTTTTGACAACACTCCTGGATAAAATTGTTTTATGGGCCCCCTTGGGCACCATGTGCTGTTCCAGTATTGTTTTAATACCAATGGGGTTTGAAAATTAGAGTTAGCTGGCCACCCTTTTTAGAATCTGATTATGTGCAGTAAAGAGGTAGAATGAGTAAAGGCAAGCTCATAAGTGAACATGTGTATACAATTAGAAAATAACGCTCTATTCACAGTAATAGCTCTTTTAATTAAGAACTTATTAATGGATCGTGGGCTCATTATATTTTCTGATATAATTAGAACATATTGGTTTGATGGTAACTATTCGTTGGAAGAGTCTGTATTTATTTCCTGTTCTTTTATTTACAAAGTTTTTAAATAAAAAGAAGTAAACAAGTAGTACCAGTAGGTCTTGTGGTTTCTGACACACACTCATACACATACAGACTGATTGCAGGGGTTGATAAGGGTAATGGGATTTGTGGCAGGCCTGTCTTGAGACAAACTGGCCAGGGGGGTTGTTATCCTCAGTATAGTTTTTAATTCCACGTCTTAATTCTCCTCAGGGCACCAAGGAAGTTGGGGCCTAAGACCAAAAAGGCAACACCATATGTGCTTCTTTGTGTCATTGTTTCTGTGTTGCCAGTTGTAAAACATGCTGTGCATTTGAGCTAAAAAAAAAAAAAGCAGCCTCTTCAGCCCTTCTTTTTTACTATTCCATTCAAAGTCCATATGCCCTTGGCTTTGTTTGACTTCATAAAGCCAGTTTGCACAAACACACACAGTCTTCTCTTCTGATTAGATTTATTAGAAATCACCAGGAATTGGAAACAAAGATAATCTCAGTTTGCTTTGGCTTTACCACAAGTTTATTGTTTTATTAAATCTGTCCTGCCTGTCTTTTTGCTCTGCATCTCTTTATATGTTTACTGAGCCTTGACTAGAGACTAGGTCTCATTTGCATCTTTATAGGAAGATGTACTGCATAGACAGAAACAACAGGAGAATCTTTATTTCCTGCAGATTTTTCAGATCTGAACACAATTGTGGTGGATCCTCAGAAGACAGGCCTCATCATGCAGCACGGTGATTGCTGCTTTGTTTTTCTGTTTGTGATCAGAATAGGGGATTACTGTGGCCGACACAAGTGGGAAGCTCAGCAAGAGGCAGACACAGTAATATATTCAGAAACTCATGATTTCTGAAAAAAGAATCATCTTCCTGTTTGTTTTCAAGATAGCTTTCCTTTTCCCCCTTATAGTAATGTCGCTGGAGTATTGAGATGTTTCCATCAAAGCTGGTATTTGTTTTCTGCTGAGGTTATGCAGATGGAGGCAACCTGTTGCAGTACACATATAAAATAGTTTTAGTCAAGGAAATTTCCACTCTGCTGTTTTGAAAGACACGGTTATGTTGACTAAAAATTATCTGCTGAAGGGTATAGAAATTGGATGATGGTTGCACTTCCAGAATACTGTTTTAAGTTTTTAGTTTTGTTCTTTAATGCTGTGATTTACTATAATTTCCCTCAGGGATCAATAAAGTATTCTGATTACCTGCAACAGTAAGAGCAGTAAAGGCACGTGGTTTGAAGCTGTACATGAAGGTTTGAACCAATTCCTGCAGAAAGTCGAACATAAAGGCTGGTGCTGCAGATGGGAATGGAAGTGGAGAAGCTCTGGGCATGCCACTGTAATCACACRTATTGATCGCACCAGCAGAAGAAATAGAAGAGCTAAAAGAACAGAGTTTGTGGTTGCTTTAGCTCGTTTCATGTGTGAGCGTGTTTTGACTTTACATCATTCTTTTACAAGTACCAAGTTGTTGTTTTTTTTTTTTACATTTTACAAGAAATGATTGTTTGTGATGATAGGCTTTGAAAAGGGAGGGGAAAAAAACTAACTTCATCATGACAAAGATGGCCCCAACTTTTTCCTTTTTTTTTTTTCTTTTTTTTGGTAAATTGATTAGAAGAAAAGAGATGCTGTCATTTGATTTACGGTATTTATTGTTGATTGATTGGTTGGAATTTTTTTGTTGTTTTTAAGAGGTATTAAAGTAATTAAAATCATAAACAAGTTTTTTTATTCATTGTCAGTGAAAACAGATTGCTTCATGTAGAATAAGTCTAAAACAMAGGATTATGTTCAGAGTACAGCAAATCTAATTTCTCACATTTTTTTCAAGATTCAATTACTTTCACGCTGTTTGTACTGCAGAGTCTGCAAACTGCCAGCAACAAAACTAAAATATTTGAGTCTGACCATGTCTATGGTGTCGGTTTCAGTCTTCAGCAAACAGCAGCTACATGGAGCTCAGTGCTGGGTTTGATGACAGATTGTGAAACCCAGTCTAGATAAAATTTCAAGTCACTTCCAAATATAAAGTCGTCACTTTTTAGAATAGCTCATCAGGTTTATGTTTTTTTATGCCTCTACAGATTAAATTTTAAAAACAAAAGATTAAAAAAGTWTTTTAACAGTTTAGCTTTAATTTACTCAGCCACATTGCAAACACACCCTTTAGAATTAAAATTTTGCTGTTTGTCTCTGATTTGGTTTTGGTTGAAAAGCACAATTTATTCCCAAATGTCAAAATCGTGCATTTCTTGTCCCAATGGTTTCTAGTACACCAAATATGGCACGATTTGGAGAWGTATTGACAGACAGAGAGGGAATTGAAACTAAATCTTGCCATCTGATGAAGCAAACAAGAACACGAAGTCAAAACCATCAGTGGAGTAATGATGTGGGAATGTGGTTGTTGAAGATAATCAGTGTGAAGCCTTACAGCAGTCACACTATAGAGATCTTTTTTCTTCCCTACAGTTTTTGGCCCCTTTCTCGATCCACAATTTTTATGCTATTTCAACTATTCATATATCAAAACGTTGAGCTCATTCAGGACATTCCGGCTATGACTTTTAGTATTTCAGCTTTTTATACTTTTCTAGCWGTTTCACTTTTTTTAGCCAGTTTTATGCCATTGAAAATGAATGGGGCTATTTTCAACATCCTTAAAGTCCTTCAAAAGGTTTCTAAATCTTTACAGCACCTTACACAATTTGTTCTGCTTATGCTCTTTTTAACTTCCTTGTGCTAATTTTAGCTACTTCTTAGCTAATTTTAGCTTTTTCTGCTATTTCAGCTAAAATTCTACTTATTTCTTCTATTCCTCTGCTATTTTCTACTTTTTTGTAATTCTTTCTTTTATTTTGTGCTATTTATGCTTCTTACAGATGCTTTCTGCTATATTGAGCTATTTGCAGAAATTTTAGCTAATGTTCAGCTGTTATTAGCTAAAGTTAGCTTTTTAAGCTAAATACACATTTTTTGCAGCTATTAGAACTTTTTTCTGCTAAATACAGCAAACTTGTGCTTCTTATGCTTCCTTATGCTAAATAAAACATTTCCAGCTACTGTTTAGCTATTTTACTGAAAACTTTGGCTGTTTTAACTATTTTACTATACAAATGATAACGTTTTAGTAGTTTTATGGTTGTTGTTCTGCTAGTTTTGAATTTTTTTATAACCATTTAACCATCTGGGTGCTACTTTCAATTTGCGGGTGCTACCTTTAGCTTATTTTTATATTAATTTTAGCTTTTTGCTGCTATATTTGCTAAAATTCTGCTTCTTTCTGCCTTTTCTCTGCTATTTACTATTTTTTGTAATTCTACTTTGAGCTGTTTATGCTTCATACAGTTGCTTTCTGCAATATTCAGCTATTTGCTGCAATTTTAGCTAATGTTCAGCTGTTGTTTGCTAAAGTTAGTTCAATTACTTGATTTTGGCCAATTTTTGATACAGTATACTGAGCAAAAAATTAATATATTGCTGAGACTTAGCTCTATCATAAATAGCAGCAGAAAAAAAATCCAAGATGGCCACCAAAGCTTGTTTTAAAGGCCTTTTACTCAGCCAATGTTTGAGATATTGACATGAAAACGTATGTACTGGTAGCTGAGAGCATGCTCTATAACATATTGAAGCCTCAAAAAAATTCCACAATTGTAGCCAAAGCTATTTTGGCTACTTTTTTCCCATTGGAAATGAATGGAGCTTTTTCAACATCCTTAAATTTCTTCACAATGTTTCTAAATTTTTACAAAACCTTACACATTATATTCTGGTTTTGCTTTAATTAAATTCCTTGTGACAATTTTAGCTACTTTTTTGTTTTATTTATTTTGCAAATTTTAGCTTTTTTCTAGCATTCTAGCTATATGTCTGTTCTTGTCTGTAATTCTGCTAATTTTTACTTTTTGTGCTTCTTTCTGCTAATTTGAGTTATTTACGCTTCTTACAGCTGCTTTCTGCTTTATTCATCTATTTTAGCTTTTAGCTTTTTTATGCTATTTCAGCTATATTTTGTCTCTTTTTTACTGTTTTTCTGCAAATTTTTTTTCTTCTTTCAGCTTATCAAGTTTAACTTATAATGATACTTTTGCTGTTAAACATTTTCAGCTTAATTTCAGCAGCTTTCAGCTAAAGTTTTCAACAACGGGCATTCACACCAGCATTTTCGCAGGAAATGCAATTTCTCTAGTTATTAGTAATATTTCATCTTTTCTTTGCAGAGTGGCGTCAGGGTAGAGGACAGCGCATGATCCTGCAAGATGAAGACATCACCACAAAGATTGAAGCAGACTGGAAGAGACTGAACATGTTGGCTCACTATCAGGTACGATGCTGGTTGCATTAAAAAAAGAAATAATTCAATCAGATGTATCTCAAATACACACAGGAAAAGGCTTAACTTACAGTATTAGACTAAATACTTTTTGAGTCCTATGTTTGATGTGTTTTCTAATTAACAGAAAAAACTTTTTTTTAGAAACAAATATTAACATTATCAAACAAAATCAAGGGTTGTATTTGACTAACAAATATGTTCTGTGTTCAGGAAGTGTGGGAATAAAACTGATGTGTTGTGTAAATGTCATCTTTCTGAATCTAATTGATCCTGGAAGAATCACACATCAGAGGTCAGACTAATGCAAACCTGTAGACTTGAGACCAAAAATAACTGCCTAAATAGAAGTATTCCAGTCAGCAGAAAAATACACAATATATCAAGCTACTTTACTTAATAAAGTCTAAAAGGCATTTTGCGGAAAGGAAAACGCACCTCTGCAGGCATTTTGTGTCACTTGAGGACTAAAAGTCCTTACAGGAAAAGACAAAAGTGACCTGCATCGCCAATATGGTGTTAATAATTCGAGAAGCTGAGCAAGTAGTGACTGTCTCCTCCAAGTGCAATTTGCGTGGTGCCTAAATTAAATGTCAGCAGCAGCGAGTGTCAACAGGCTGCGAGAATGAGTCGTGGGTGGAATGGATTAGGGAGCTGATTTGAATCGGAGATAAGATAATGAAGACAGAAGTTAATTCATTTTTTCTTTCAGGCTGAGGAAGGAAAGGGCAACTTATCCTTGATGGACCAAAAAATGTAAACCCTATAGCCTTTCAAAAATTGTGGGCAGACAAAGAAAATTAAAAAAAGGGAGAGGACATGACAAACAAGCTTCAGTCATTCCAAACATCATGCTTAATGTGAGGGTTATAACTTGACACCATTTACTAATCTAATCTTCTGAAATAAATTATTATGTAGATAAAATATATGCCTGCATACTGTAAATACAGTAAACTTAAAATATTATGGTAAGGAGGAGCCAGGATGCCAGGTCAGGTGGTTTTAAATTATCATCACATTAATCAATTATTAACAGAGTACCCAAATTTATGACATAAAACCTCCTACAGACATTTTCTATAAATATTGTTTTAGTTATTCTAGCACGTGTTTCCATTAATGCACTGATCAGAATCATCTGCTTTGATATGAAACTTTTTCAAATAATTCATACATCTACTGCTGTTTGTGACAATTTGCTTCAATAAAATAAGTGAAAACTGGACTCCGACCCCCAGAACGTCACATGCACAATACTGCATATTTGTCATTTTCCTTTCTTTTCTTTCCTGTGGGACATGCTGCTCTCTCTCTTCTGTCTTTATTTAATGCCACCCCTCCTTTTCACATTTCATTATGTCGCACTGYTCATTTTATATCAATTCAACATATAAAAGCAGTTATCAGAGAGACCACGAAGGGTTTTGGAGAGTTGTTGGGGTCCCCACAAAGGAATAACAAGTCCTGCCCTCTGGGCTTCCTGCTTACAATGATATAAACATTATGCATAAGGAGCAGATTAAGAGGTGGGGGTTGGGGGTGAAATAATGACACAATTTCAATAAAGCCTCAGCTCTTATGCACACATATATGCAAACTACGAGCTGGTGGACCCATCTACCCACACACTGATAAAGATCACCTCAATTAACCCTGAAGCATAGCCTGAAAATGGAAAAAAGTTTTCATCCCGGTTGTRTTAATGCAATACAGCTTGGCTGACAGGGGACTAGGGGTGCAAGATTGACTTCATTTGTACACACYTATTTACGTAAAAACACAAATCTGCACACTGCTTGTTACTTCCCATTTTAATGAACACACCCTCAAACACACAGCCCCTAAGGGAAGGTATTATTGAATAGAGACTGTGGGACGTCCCCTCTCACACAGGTCTRTGCGATGCTCTGGTAAACTCTCACTCCTCCTGTCACTCATTGGACTGTGTGGGCTGAGCACAGAGCGTATAGGTAATAACGCTCTGTTTACTCAACCAGAATAGATGAAAGAGAATATAGAAAATTGTACCAACACAATATGTTTCCTAAGTGTTGCATCAGAAATGCATTGAAATAAAAAAGACAAAATAAACAGCATGTTTAACCTGGAGACATTTTATTTATGCAGGGTTGACATAAATAATTCCAGTTGTCCAAGACAGCCAGGGTGAAAGGTGAGGGAGGTCTCCTATATGACTCCAATTGATTGGGGTTGAAATCCAGTCAGTGGTGATTCTGGTTTGTAGCTATACACTTGTGTTTTTTCTAGTATTATATACTTTACAAAAATTAAATGCAATTATTTTGTTTTCCACACATGTATTTAAATCTTAGTCAGCTTAAAAGAAACTAGTGAGGAGAGACTTTAATAGTAATATTTTCAAAATTAAAAAAAATAGTGTTTAAGGTGGTCAGGCTAGTGCTCATCTGCAGCCTTTACCCTCTGTTAACTCAACCCAACTTCCACAGGATGTCTGAGTAAACCTGACGTGTTTCTGAGTATCTCAGGGTGGAAACAGGTTGATGTTTGACAGATGTCAGATCAAATCATAAAATTCATCAGCTCTCTAATATTTTCACCAAAAAAACTCATTTCGGTTAAACATTGAAAACCTGCTGACGACTGAAAATGAGTCCCTGACAAAAACTCACACACTTAATGAAAAAAAAGACAAATTATCTTGAATTATACAATTTTTATTAGCCACACATGCCATCACAGAAATGGTTTATACAGGTGCTGGTCATAAATTTAGAATATCATGAAAAAGTAGATTTATTTCAGTAATTCCATTTAAAAAGTGAAACTTGTATATTATATTCATACATTACATACAAACTCATATATTTCAAATGTTTATTTCGTTTAATTTTGATGATTACAAATGACAACAAATGAAAATCTCAAATTCAGCATATCAGAAAATTAGAATCTTGTGAAAAGGTTCAAMRTGGATGGCACCTGGTACCACACTCTAATCAGCTAATTAACTCAAACCACCTGCAAAGGCCTTTAAATGGTCTTTCAGTCTAGTTCTATAGGCTACACAATCATGGGGAAGACTGCTGACTTGACAGTTGTCCAAAAGACGACCATCGACACCTTGCACAAGGAGGGCAAGACACAAAAGGTCATCGCTAAAGAGGCTGGCTGTTCACAGAGCTCTGTGTCCAAGCACATTAATAGAGAGGCGAAGGGAAGGAAAAGATGTGGTCGAAAAAARTGTACAAGCAAGAGAGATAACCGCACCCTGGAGAGGATTGTGAAACAAAACCCATTCAAAAATGTGGGGGAGATTCACAAAGAGTGGACTGCAGCTGGAGTGAGTGCTTCAAGAACCACCACACACGTATGAAAGACATGGGTTTCTGCTGTCGCATTCCTTGTGTCAAGCCACTCTTGAACCACAGACAGCGTCAGAAGCGTCTTGHCTGGGCTACAGAGAAACAGGACTGGACTGCTGGTAAGTGGTCCAAAGTCATGTTCTCTGATGAAAGTAAATTTTGCATTTCCTTTGGAAATCAAGGTCCCAGAGTCTGGAGGAAAAGAAGAGAGGCACTTCATCCACGTTGCTTGAAGTCCAGTGTAAAGTTTCCACAGTCAGTGATGGTTTGGGGTGCCATGTCATCTGCTGGTGTTGGTCCATTGTGTTTTCTGAGGTCCAAAGGAGCCCCAACTAAATACTGAGTGCTGTACATGCTCATACTTTTCATGTTCATACTTTTCACTTGGCCAWCATTTCTATAAATCCTTTGTTTTTATTGGTCTTCAGTAATATTCTAATTTTCTGATATGCTGAATTTGAGATTTTCATTTGTTGTCATTTGTAATCATCAAAATTAAACGAAATAAACATTTGAAATATATGAGTTTGTATGTAATGTATGAATATAATATACAAGTTTCACTTTTTAAATGGAATTACTGAAATAAATCTACTTTTTCATGATATTCTAATTTTATGACCAGCACCTGTACAATTCACAAACTATTATCATACATCATACATATCATATTACAAATGTAAGCAAATTGGATGAAATTAAAAATACTCAGATTTTTATCCCGAATTGCAAGACACACTCCCATCAGATGCAGTGCCTCACTGGTCCTCCAGAGATCTACATTCAGTTACTAAGGCTTGTCTGTCCTTTTTAAAGTAATGTACTGAGTGAAGACTACTGTTAAGACCTGCTCAAAAAAACTGACTCATTAACATAGTAACTGTTCAGTCTTTCTTTAGTGAATAAACTATTACTAAAACACAATAAGAAGGTGAGAACATCTCAAAAAAATGCACGTGTGAACAACTCTGAGGTGTCACAAATATCACACCTTTGGCGTTTTAACAATCAAAAATGTGATTTGTTTTCTTTTTTTTTATTAAGGCTGTGAGGTTTCATCGTGTGAACTTTAGTCTATATACCACTGAAAATACAACACTGCAAAAATTAGCCCTCTACAAATAAATACAAAAATAACAGGATTATTAAGTAAAATACTCTCCCAGTGCAGTAAGGCTGTTGCACTTTGTAAGACTTCTTGAAATAAGAAAAAAAATTAGGCTAGCAAGAATTTAATAACTGAACACATTCTGTTCTTTCTTAATATATCAGTCTAAAAAAAAGTCTCAAAACAAGGTCCAAAATACCTTTGGCTGGATGTAAGACTGTAAGGCCTGGCTATTTGAAGTGTTTTACAAAACTACTTAAACACTATCTCCCCTCACCCCTAGTTATCTGGGGGAAACACTGAAACTGAGCCTTTTCATGTTATTTTCTGTCCAAAGGTTTTTGATTGAAGAAAGACAGCATAAAACAGTTCACTCTACAGTTCTGCCATTTTGAACTCATAACTCATAGTTTTGAGTGTTTGTATACAAAGTCTGCCTTGCCGAGCCTCACCAAGCCACACTCTTTCAGTTCAGAAATATTAGATTTGGTGTATGGGCAAATGATCTTGTATAAAATAAATTTTATATATAGTGCAATATACTTATTAAATTAAAATTGTCTTGAGCTTTTTTGACTACTTTTCTATTGGAAAAGTTGTGGAACACCAACAATAATGGTGGACAGTGGTGGGCACTAGTCCACTAAAGCGCAAATCCGCTAAATGCGGACCTAAATATGTCATTTGCACTTTAGCGGTGTAGACCCTACGTCTGCCCATAATCACACTCAAACGTCTGCCCATAATCACACACACACAAATACACACACACACACAGCAAGGGACGCTTGAGAAAAGGCAGCAGCAGCTTTTAATTCATGTTATTTATTTGTTAAAAAATGATTTTTTTTTTGTCAGAGCCAGTTGTTAAAAGAGCTACAGCTGKTTTATTCCTATTCAAATGATTTTCATGTCTTTTTTTCCAGAACCCACCGTTAACAAAAAAATAAAAGTTTTCCCAACAATCCACCCATAATTRTTGTTGTTTATATACTTATTTGAGCTTTGAGAGGGTAGAGGGAGGCATTAATAATTYATGACATGCTGAATCTTCATCCRTCAACCCGTTGTCTCACGTCACGTCGTATTGAAGCAAGCAACACACGGCACAGTCAGGCTCTTATTTTGAAATGATGGGTTCCACTTGGTCCTTTACCCAGAATGCATCGCTTCAGCTCTCCAAGAAACAGTTTAAAATGACTAATATATGCTTTCTTACCGAAGCCATAAACATAAGAAAAATAAATGACCAAGAAGCAGCAAAACTTGCAGTCCACAACAAATTTTTATTTTAAATTAACACCATGAATCAAATGTCTGTTTGTATAAATGACTTCCTGAAACCGCGACAAGATATATGCAGGTTTGAGTGCAACCCACTCTGCCAGAAGATGGCAATGTTCTGGTGATCTGAGCTAATGTTGTGGATCTATTTAGCTTCTGCTAAAATATTTATGACCCATGTGCTTTAGAACATGTAGAACTAAAGACAATAATTAGTGGTGTAAAATTTGCAGAACTAACTTTTGAATTAGCGCTGCCCATCAGTGATGGTGGACAACCTGTAGAATGTTCTTATGTCTGCCCCTGTTTATGWATATTTGATTGTTTTCAGGTACCTGACAATGCAGTGATGGCCCTGGTTCCAAAGCAAGTGACAGCCTATAACTCAGTAAATAACTCTACTGTGTCCAGAACTTCTGCAAGCAAATATGGTGAGTCATGGTTTTGCACAGTTTTACATTCAGTAGTAAACAATATGTATCAGAAAATGGGCACAAAGAGAGTGCTTGTTCAGATTTTAACATTACTGTGGTTTTCTGCTGATATTCCATAAAAATGTCACATTKTCATAAAGTCCAGTTTATAAGGACACAAACCAAACAGATCTAGTTCCTCAGTCATATATGAATAAAGAATAAAAAAAAACACATTTGACCCATTTAATGCAATATGCTAGAAGTAAAACCATACAGTATATGTTCATTAGAGCTGTATGGCTGATGATGGAGTTTAGACAACATGTCTCTTAAGTCTTGTTAAAATCAGTCAACAATGAAGAAAATAAATGTGTCAACATAAAACCGGACTAATATAACATTTAGGAAATTTCATTTTATTGGCGTGACCTTGGTCATCTGGCTGCTAAGCCATGCCCGCCTGAGTGAAAATTAATGCTATGGGCAGAAATGAATTTTAGAAGTGATCCAATTGAATCAGACCGATATGGCAAAAATTGGGTATTAAAATATATTAATAGAAAAAAATAAAAAAGAAAGGGAATAACGTGGATCTTTCAGAAGTGCAAGCTTGATGCAGAACCTTGTGTGTCCACAACAGCATCAGACAACAAAAAGATAAGGCAAAAATTAGAGTAGTTGAAAGGGTTTTTTAAAACCCAAAGAGACCAAATAGACCCTTCACTCAGTTGTTCAGGTCTCTTGAGACCTAAAGTGTCCTCTCATCCTTCCGGGTGCCAGTGTCTTCTCCGCCTGCCCGTCTGCTCAGTGTCTCCTTGAACCTGCAAAAGCATCAAGTTAGACCATGATCAAAGGGTTAGCCTCACTGGTCACAAACACTTGAGACACTTCAAATGTGGTGCCACATTATTAGCATGGCCTTGTCTCCATATGGTCTCAGCTCACCTCTTGGCCACCAAATGACACCATATACTGTAGGGGGGAAGCTACTAATWTCTCCCTCCATATTTGTGGAACTGGTTTTATAAATATGATGCACTTTTGCAAGATGTGAAAATGACTTTGAATTTGTCTCGAGTACAATAGTCACATAATAAAATTGGGTAAATACAGTGTACCTGTAGAGGAGCTGGAGTCTAAGTTTTGGTAAAAATTCAAATTAGCACTAGAACATGATGAGTCCTGGGAGAGAAAAACACTCTGTGACAAGAAACTAAAACAATGTGTGTGCACATAATACAACACCCTCAGTTTGTTATTTTTTTAAGAATAAGTAATTAACACAGATGCAGCCACAGAGCTTCAAAAACTGCACAGTAACTGTCACGTCTTGCCCTGTGCCCCTAAAATGTCTGAAAATATTGATTCATTATTTTGTTCTGGTAACAAAGCTGYAGTTAAATGAAGCTCACTGACAATTACTTTCAGTTTATCAGACTGTGACAAAATGTGAGCTCTTGATATACTCCCTCTATTTTATTTTTTATTTATATTACTTTCTTCCATACAGTCCTCTCACTTTTCTCTCTCTGGACAGATTGATTTCTGTCACCGTAAGAATCACACGCACCCCCCCAACTCTTTTTCTCAGACCGCACCCACAGATCAATTTTTTTCACACTGTGTAAACATTCATTGAGCCATGTGTTTGGAAATGTCATCGCCGCTCCGGCCACTGGGTGGGCCATACATATTTCATCTCGTCTGACACCTGTTCGATTTTCTGTCAGCTGGCAATATAAGATCTTGTCAGTTGGAGAAGAAGCTATGAAAAATTAACCATGCAGACTTTCTGAAAGTTTCACAGCCAATCTGCCAGATGAGTAAAACAGCAGCCTTGGGCCAGAGAATTATTTTAATGCTGACGCACAGGTTAGGGTCCACTCTTAGGTTGGGTTTTCACTGTCTGTGCCTGAATGTTGGAAGATTGACAGAACCAGAAAACAAACACTGTGTCTCTAAGACTTTGTGATTTTTATCAGCAATGCATGACGTAGATTGTGTTGTTTTTCCACAGAGAACATGATAAAGTACACTGGAAGCCCAGACAGTATGCGCTCCCGGACCCCCATGATCACTCCGGACCTGGAAAGCGGGGTGAAGGTCTGGCACTTGGTTAAGAACCATGAGCACGGAGACCAGAAGGAAGGTGATCGTGGCAGCAAGATGGTCTCTGAGATCTACTTGACGAGACTTCTGGCTACCAAGGTGAGCTGTTATTAGTGAAGAAAATGTTGCATTTGATCATAATCGTTACCAACACAGTTTTTAATATTAAATGATTTCTAGCAGTGTTCAAATATGATTTATATCTTCATCTCCACCATGTCTTGAGCCAGTTCAGCAGGTTAAAGGCCAAAAGGTGACTGCAACCTTCATCCCGTCTTCTAAAGGTTCAGAAAATTCTCAGTTTATTTAAATATTCACAATTACTTTGAATGGATCATCTCAGTGGATATGATTATTCAAATATATTCCACTATCCCCTCAGGTGGAAAACGGAAAACAGATATTTCTGTTTATTTTCCTTTTTCATTACTGTTGCAATGATGCAGCAGCATATCAAAAAGGATAAAGAATTAAAGAGGCATGGAGCTAGTGAGGGTTACAAAAAAATGACAAAAATAGAAATGTTGATAAAATGAGACTCTGAATGCCTTGTGACAATAGCCTCAAAGTTTGAAGAAAACAAAAAGTTGATTTGCTTTAGATGTAAATGTGACTTTGATCCAACAGCTGAATGTAAATTAGAATCTACTCCTAAAGCTTCTCATCCTTTTTGTTTTTTCATCCAGACAAAATTATCAGAAAGGAGGTGTTTGTAAAAGGTGTAGAAGAATGCAGCTGCACAACGAAAAGGTTCAGACTGAAACTGTTTCAGTGAGGAACATTTTATTGTAGCAGTATAAAAAAGAAACTCAGCTGACTTCTTCATATAACATAAATGGCAGCATGAGATAAAACCTTAAATCTGGGATGAATTGTGCTGAACAGCTAGCTACATTTAGAAGCACTGAATGTATTTGAAAGTTTAACGTACCAATTCAAATCTTTACGAGCTCGTGAAACTGTTGCTGACAAACAGGCGTTACAACCTGAGTGAGTGTATTTCTGTTAATATACACTCCAGTGTTCATCCAAAGGTACAATTCTGACTCATAATTTAATTGAAAACTAAGCTAAATACATTATTCAAACATTCACAGTTCAGAATGGAAGGAATTTATTTGTTAGTTTAAAAAAATGTTTCCAATCAATTAAACATGATTGGGGGTGTTTATTTTAATCTCAGAAGACTAATCAAAAACATTTCTYAAGCATGTCAGGTAAAATTTGGAGAATATTAGAATTTGTTCAAATAGCCTTGATAGCATGTACAAAAGCCCTAAGGCTGGTTAAAGGGATTCTGCTGAGTGATTGACAGAATGAATGTAGTTATACTTGCATCTTAATTTTAAGTCAGTTGTGTTGGAGGTTATTAAAGCCGTGTAAATTTGCATTACTTCCTTATTAAGTAGAACTACTGCACAATTGGGTTGGCGGAATGTGGTAATCAATTAACGGTATGGGGTGTAACAGTAGCTATGTTTACATGTTCATCATGGAAGTAGAACTTGAGTTTTAGATAAAGTTCACAATTCTGCACATTTCAATACCTCTAATATGAATAAAAGCCAAGTGCATGTAAATGCTTGTGTTGTAGAAATCTTTATTTTACTTAGACAGAAACATGAGATCCAAGAATAAAAAGCACTCTGTGAAAATGGTCAATAGGATTTATTGCAATTTGCAAGACACACATCATGTCACATAGGGCAGTGGTAAAAAATGTGTGCACCGAGGCAGTTTCAAATACAGTATTTATACCGAGTAATATCAGACAGACAATAAACATCTCTCTMGGTGCTAAAACTGAGCCAAGGAGAGAATGGTGTTTAATAAACATCAACAAGAATGATTACTTCTAACAGATATTGTCCTGATCTTAAAACACTGTCYGAGAGAAAACAGAAGATAAAAAGTAAAATCATAAAACATGATGACATTTTAAAGTAAACAAAAGAGGTCACTGACTCTTGACCTGAGAAGAAATGTAAGACCTTAAAGGATAATTTATTTTTCCAAGACAGCTTGTCTTGATTGGATTAATTAATTTTGTGCCCATTTAAACAATACATTCGGATTATTTAATTTGAATGTTTCAGTCGAATCAAAGAGTTTTGCTAACTGACTTTGACACCATGACATTTGACACAAAGCAACATGAGAAACTAATGCGGTTTGCAAAATAAAAAGAAGCCAGAGAGAATGTAACAACAGTCATCGTGACATATACAGTCCTGCACACACATGCACCTGTCACCACACAGCCTCAGAGAGTCGCTTTATTGCTGTCCCGCTCCAGACTACAGAGAAAGGTGGCTTCTGATGGTTGACAGCATATCTCCTTTTAAGATGGATTGTTTTTGTGAAATAACTAGTTTATCTTGGCTGGCCATCTCTCTTGGTGAGAAATGATTAGGCAGACAGGCAGTGTAATTGACTGTGTTTGGCTTCCACTTCGCCAATAAATACCTCTCCCTGGCAACACCGCTTACGTGTCTCATATTAGCTCCATCACTGAGGCTCACAGAGAGGCAACGGCATCTGTTTTCGTGAAGTGGCACAGGGAAGGCTTGCATTTTCTCACTTTTACGCTCAAGAGCGTGTCTACTTCCCACAAACAATGTGATTGTTTGCTTTCCTTACATTTCATTGTCAAGGCTTAGGAGTCCAGTCCAATTCAATTTATTTGTAAAGCATGTTAAAACTCCTCCAAATGAACAAAGCTGTACAATAAAAAACAGTAAAAACACAAAACAATGTTTATTTATTTACCGTTATTTTACCAGGCAAGTCCCATTGAATTCGCAGATCTCTTTTTTAAGGGAGGCCTGGGCCTGAAGGCAACCTATTGTACATGTTTTTGTGTTGTGGGGGAAACCGGAGTACCTGGAAAAAACCCACGCAAGCACGAGGATAACATGCAAACTCCACACAGAAAGACCCCAGGTCCGAACCGGGTATCAAACCCAGGACCTTCTTGCTGTGGGGCGTCGGTGCTAACCACTGAGCCATCATGCTGCCAATGAAAGTTACAAAGAATAAAAACAAAGGGAAAAACTGATAAAATCCATAAAAGTCAACATGATGTGTAAATGTATGGATGTAAAAGCTCAGAAAGGTAGGGAGAGGCGAGATTGTTCAACAATTTAACAACAACTAAAATAATTTTAAAATGGATTGKTAACCAATGCAGGGATTTTAAAACTGGTGTAATATGATTGAATTTCCTTGTACTGCTTAAAAGACACAACAGCATTTTGCATCATCTGCAAACCAGACTATAAAAACCTCAAAAATGTTGTGTAGTTCTRGAAAGTCCATCAGTTGACTGTTGAATATTTTTAAATAAAAGGCAATTTAGCAGTGAGTCTAAAATTATCCAAGAATGCAGGGTCCAGATTAGTTTTTTTTATTAGTGGTTGCACTTCTGCCCTTTTAAAGATTCAGGGATGACACCGGAATACAAGCTGCTGTTTAAAATTGCAAGAACGGATCGACCCACAGAGGTAAAAACTACTTTAAAAGGTCAAAAAGGAACAGGGTCACTGGAAGAACCTGAAGGTTTCATCTGACCAGCAATCAGGAGTGAAGAATGAAATAATAAACAGGTGGTTAAAAAACAATGTTAAAAAACAGTTTACACAGTTTTAAAATATTTATTCACTTTCACACAGGTAAGTGGCTAAACATAGGGAAGTAAAACCTTTGTGATTACAGCTGGCAGGTAGCCTAGTGGGTTTGTCCCATGGCTGTTGGTGCTTCATTGRTCTGTGGTGCAGGGTTCAAATCCCAGAGCCAAACTTAGCTCCACAATGAGTGTCTGAGCTTGAAACATATTCATCACATCTGAAAGTTGATGAAGGTATAAATCCAAATTGGCTCATGGGGAGCCAGAACAAGGGGTGTTTGAAGGTCCACCCCCTCATCAGTTCTTTAGATATAATCCTATATGTAACTATATAGGAAACTTACAACGTACCTTCTGCTGATGAGTATGTTCCTGTCAAAGACACTTAATAATATAGGTGCAAAATGTAGACCCAAACACATTCAATAACCTGAAGTTAGTGAAAAATTAGGTGTGTGGTGGAGTGAGTCGGGACGGGTGGGGGGGTTGGGTTTGGGGGTGTGTGTGAGAGTGAGACTAAAAGTAGATGCAAAAGTAGACCCAGATCAGGAAGCCCAGCAGAGCGGTGCCACCAGCTTTTGTCTCTTTCAACCAGGTTAAACCAGGACAAAGGGAAGTAAATCARGTTYTGAAGGAACTGGYGGGTAGTCCAGTGGGTTAGTTCTTTGGCTGTTGGATCAAAGGTTCATGAGTTCAAATCCCACAGCCAGCTTGAAGGTTTTACATTTTAATAAGCTGGAATCTTGTATCTACCTTTAGTCTCACATCACATGTATTTGGAATTTAATAAGACAAGCTCAGTAGAAGTACTTACCTCAACCTTCATGTGTGATGAACATGTTTCTCTCTCCCAAACTGGGATTTGAACTCAAGCATCCCAGATTATCAGCATACCAACAGCCATGGGACTAACCCACTAGGCTACCTGCCGGTACTCATGTAATGTTTTAACTTCCCTATGTTTATCAGTTACCAGGGTGAAAGTGAAGAAATCTTTTAAAACTGTGCAAACTAAGTTTTTCACAGTGTGTTACCAAAGTTGGAGCTGGGATTTGAACACTGACCTTCCTGCACCAAAGTTATGTGACTTCACCACCAGGCTAACTCCCAGCTCTCTCACATGAAGAATTAACTTCCCCAAATGTGTCCAGTTAAGCCAAACGTCAAGAAACGTTTCAAAACTGTGCAAACTAAGTTTTTCACATTATGTTACCAAAGTTGGAGCTGGGATTTGAACACTGATCTTCCTGCACCAAAGTTATGTGACTTCACCACCAGGCTAAYTCCCAGCACTGTCATCTAAGGTTTTAACTTCGCCAAGTTTGGTAAATTAGGTCAAATGTGAAGAAATTAAAGTTGCACCAATAAATCAGGGTTAGAAGATATCTTTCAAAACTGTGCATATGTTTTTTTTTTCTCTTTTCAATTGTAAGCCTTAAAATCTCAGTATATTTCTTACCATGTAAAATAAAAAAACACCAAATTTGGTTACACTTTGTTACCGAGGCTGGCTCTGGGATTTGAGCCCTGATGTTGCATCAAAGTCATGTGACTTCATCACTGAATTAACTCCAAACTCACCAGTTTAAAAGATACTCCACCATTCAGTATGTTTGATACTATCATTGATTTAAACTCTACAATATCATCAAAGTGCAGTTACCCAGATCAGACTGAAAAATGTTTTAGAGCAGAAATCTATCATCTTGACACATACAAACTGTAACTTTTAAGTGATTTTGTGTTATAAAAAAGCACTTGTGCTAGTTTTTAAGTTATACAAAGGCTAAAGCACTCAGCTCACCTAAACTACTACTACCAGTAGTCCGGTAAGATATTTACTTACATAATATTTGTATTGTTGGAGCATAAATTTAGTTTACTTTTCATATTTTGTGTAGATTCTGAGCCATCCAGGACACAGCAAACCCTAAGAGTTTAAAACTGCTGTAGTTGAAAATGTGAAAAATYTCTAACTAAATAATATTTTAACAGTGTGGTGGTCTGGTTCCCACATTAGTGGTTTACAGTGGGTACCCCTTTAAATTTTTCACTCTTTGTTTCATTGCAACCATTCACTAAAATCAAAAAAGTTCATTTTATTTTTCATCAATGTACACTCAGGTCCCCCATCTTGACAGAAAAATAACAGAAATGAAGAAATTTTTGCAAATTAAAAAAGAAAAACTGAAATGGCACATAGTCTTAAGTATTCAGACCCTTGGCTGTGACACTCATATTTAACTCACATGCTGTCCATTTCCTTCTGATCGTCCTTGAGATGGTTCTACTCCTTCATTGGAGTCCAGTTGTGTTTAATCAAACTCGACTCGATTAGGAAAGGCACACACCTGTCTGTATAAGGCTTCACAGCACACATCAGAGCAAATGAGAATCATGAGGTCAAAGGAACTGCCCAAGGAGCTCAGAGACAGAATTGTGGCGAGGCACAGATCTGGCCAATGTTACAAAAGAATTTCTGAAGCACTCAAGGTTCCTAAGGGCACAGTGGCCTCCATAATCCTTAAATGGAAGAAGTTTGGGACGACCAGAACTTTTCCTAGACCTGGCCGTCCAGCCAAACTGAGCGATTGTGGGAGGAGCCTTGGTGAGAGAGGTAAAGAAGAACCCAAAGATCACTGTGGCTGAGCTCCAGAGATGCAGTAGGGAGATGGGAGAAAGTTCCACAAAGTCAATTATTACTGCAGCCCCCCAACAGCCAGGGCTCTATGGCAGAGTGACTCGACGGAAGCCTCTCCTCAGTGCAAGACATGTGAAAGCTTGCATAGAGTTTGTCAAAAAAAAAACACATGAAGACTGTGAGAAATAAGATTCTCTGGTCGGATGAGACGAAGATTGAACTTTCTGGTGTTATCTTTAAGCAGTCTATGTGGAGAAAATCAGGCACTGCTCATCAGATGCCTAATACAATCCCAACAGTGAAACATGGTGGTGGCAGCATCATGCTATTGGGGTGGTTTTCAGCTGCAGGGATGGGACAACTTAAAGATAGATGTAGCCAAGTACAGAGATATCCTGGAAAACATATATTCCAGAGCACTCTAGACCTCAGACTGGGCTGAAGGTTCACCTTCCGACAAGACAATGGGCCTCATGCAAGAACATGTTTGTATTCTTATCCTAAATTTCTCTTACTTTTGTTCGTACAAAGGGTTCGTACGAACATGTCACGTCAGATTCAGCAAACTCTTCTATCTTAAGGAAAAGTGTGTAAATGAGGAGCGTAAACCTGATGAATGCCACTTGTTCATATCCAGGTGCTCGCGCACAAGGAGAGGAGATAAAATAAATAATAAAAATAAATTTTGATTAAAAAAATAACAGTCTATAAAGCTCATTAAATACTGAGACAAATTAAACTTCAGTTAATGTATAATTTAAGTTGGTTTGTAGTTTGAGATCTTCATATTTAAATTGTAGTGTTATACAACAGCATTAATAGCCAATTTAATTTAATTTACACATTTTTTTCGTTAGTCTACATTATTACATTTAAATTTATAATTCCAATTCAGACAGAATAACCTATTGTCAACATAATTATGGCATGTAATTATTTTCAACTCTAAATATCTTCAAACTAATGAAATATAAAGTTATTAGTGAAGAAAATCAGTCTGGAAAACAGCAGACTGACTGCACGTAAAATAAATGACAGGTCTGGACCACTTGTGAATTTTGTTTGTATCTGAAAAAAATCTTACAAGAAAATTGGTGAATGCCATAAGTTCTCCTCATACACACAACTTAAGAACAAATCTGTCCGTATGAATGGTTCTTACATGAGTCCCAATGACCCTAACCCAGGCATGTCTAACTCCAGTCCTCAAGGGCTGGTCTCCTGCAAGTGCTACATTTGTCCCTGCTTCAACACAGGTGATTCAAATAGATGATTTATCTTCTCGATTTGCCATCAAGGTCTGCAGAGGCCCACTAATTAAGCACTCCTTAGGTTCAGCTGTGTTGAACAAGGGCAGCACCTAAAACATGCAGGACACTGGCCCTTGAGGACCAACTTTGGACACCACTGCCCTAAGCACACAGCTAAAATAACAAAGGAGTGGCTTCAGAACAGCTCTGTGACTGGCCCGGCCAGAGCCCTGACCTAAACCCAATTGATCATCTYTGGAGAGACAAGAAAATGGCTGTCCAACATTCACCATCCAACCTGACAGAGAGAGTATCCTCAAATCCAGCTGTGAAAAAAGTGTTGCSTAATTCCCAAGAAGATTCATGGCTGTAGTAGCTCAAAAGGGTGCTTCTACTCAATACTGAGCAAAGGGTCTGAATGCTTATGACCATGTGATATTTCAGTTTTTCTTTTTTAATAAATTTGTAAAAATTTCTACATTTGTTTTTTTTCTGTCAAGATGGGAGGCTGAGTGTACATTGATGAAAAATACAAGGGACTTTTTGATTTTAGCAAATAGCTGCAATGAAACAAAGAGTGAAAAGGGGTCTGAATACTTTCCGTACCCACTGTATATTTGTGTGCATGACACAAATATACATGTAAATAGCACTCATCTTCTGGAATATCTTCCCTTATAGTTGTACTTAAAAACAAGTATTTGTTTGTCATTGTTAAGTTAAAAAAAGGCAGAGATTATGTTTTTCTATTCATTGTTTGTCACGTTGGCAATTGCACATAAGGGCTGTGTGTTACCGTGTTTTTTATTTACAACCAGATGACACATTGTGTTTAGAGTGCAGTCTAATGACAGGGTGGAGAGTTGTGGGGGGACAGGGGGGGTTGTGTTGGCAATATACAGCTCCACCAGGGAACACGAGAACCCTGTGATGATGACAGTGTTGATACTGGTGCACCCCTTGAGATGGATGACGTAAAATGTCACAAGCTCTGCATTTGAATGCACACACACACATCCATACAACACACTCAACATAAAGTGTTTCCTTTGCAGCTGATGTAGACTATCTGAAACATGCAGACATGATAAAGATATGTGTGCTCCTATGTTTATTTAAAAAGCAGTCTGTAATTCAGGCCATATTAGAATAAAATCCCTGATTGCTGGACTAACAGGATTCCCTCCTTCCACTCTCTTCTACCTCTCGACTATGATTCAGTTATCCGCTCCACCCAAATTGGATTTTTATTTGCCAGTGCCTTTACACACCTCATCTGCCACACTCAATGACCTCTTTTTCTGATAGGAAACCTGTCGTTTCATTTCCATCCCTCGCTCCCACTTTCTCCCGTGCATCCCATCAACTTGTTCTTTACAAGAGGATTAGATATTTTTTCCACTCTGTCTCTCTTCTCTTTCCTCCTCCTTAAAGTCACCAACATTAAATCAAATTAGGGTCAATGGTGCAGTGTGGGAGCTAATCCGGTAGCACAAAGAGGCTTAGGAGATGCGCCTCCTGTTCCCAGATATTATTAAAAGTCAGCTGTGAAATAACAATTTCCTCCATCAAAGCTGCAAGCAGGTTTGTGGGTCAGGTCTGTGAGATATGTGTTGGGCACAAACATTGAAGTGAAGGGACCAAATGGAACGTTCTGCACAACTCATAACCTCACACAGGAAATTTTCTGTCAACATTAATTAGTAGTGTATCAGAAAATGTATAGGCAGTAACATTYTCATTCTGTGTACTCAATATAAATACTGTATATACGTACTGTATGTGTCAACAACTGCAGGTTTTTACTTTTGGTCTCTCTGCTCCACAGGGAACGTTACAGAAGTTTGTTGATGATCTGTTTGAAACCATCTTCAGTACGGCCCACAGAGGCAGTGCTCTGCCTCTGGCCATCAAATACATGTTTGACTTCCTGGACGAGCAGGCCGACAAACACAACATCCACGACCCACATGTGCGACACACATGGAAGAGCAACTGGTGAGTACAATTTTTGTATATCTGCATGTACTTTTACACAAGAAGTAACAACTTTTAGTAGCCAAGAGTGATAGCTTTTAAGCCTCTGGTACATTTTGGCACGTTTCCTTTTAGCTTTGCTTCATTAGTGCCAAGTTTCACCACGTGCCCCCTTCTTTTTTAATAGTCACTGACCACAGGGGTTGTAATCACTGTTAAAGACAACCACAACGGTCTAATGCAGTCAGCTGCCAAGAATCTCCATCTATTTTCATGGGTAAATGGGGCCAAAATAATGTCTGTTACCAAGGAAATCTCCATAATGACAAATGTACATTTCCACGTGCATAAGTGCACCTTTAAGTTAATATCTGCTTCTTAATTTAGACCATGTTGACCTCTGTTAGCCCACCTACTAAAACTGGTCAGGTTTAAATAACCAACAATAAACTAGAATTGGGAGAGAAGATAAATAAAAAGAATAAAGGAGAAGAAGTGGGAGCAGCGGGAGTTAAATACGCACTAATAACTCGTTAGCCCCCTAGCTTCTGCCAAGTTCCCAGCATGCATCACTCAGCACGAGGCTCAGGAGGACCACAGTGATGGCAGAAAAAACTGATGCCTATCAAGGGAAAAATAGAGATGGAGAAAGGAGTGGGTCGTGAGAAGCTAAAAGAAATATTTGTGTTTCTTGTCTGCATTATTGGGCGATTTGCAGTGTGTTAAGTGTTTTCTGACAGCACAACAGCCCTGTGTTGCATTAGACCTTTAATGGGCTTTCACTATTGCCCCATAAACGGGCAGCAATTTCTCATCCCACAGATATCCTTTGTGTGAGATGTGCATCTGACTGCGTCTTTGCACTTCTTGCAGTTCGTGCATTTGCATTAGTTTAAGTCATTTGTAAAACTGCTAAACTTTTAGTTTAATGGTAGAGAATARCAATGCCCTCCAACATCCCCAACCCCCAATTCCTATTGTCATTATACGTACCATTAGCCTCCACTGCAATGAGAGACCCATCTATGGTCCTTATCTTATACCACTCGCTGCTGTTTCCTTCTTAAAGAATCAGGACAAACGTAGGGAGAGAATTGTGTAACCAAAATACAGGTTTTAACTTACATGTATATAGTTTTTATTAAAATTGGTGCAGGCATGATGTTTTCTATATATTAGAACGACACTATACACTGTAGATTTCTCTTAATCTTGCACAATTAGAGCCTGACCTTAAGTGTGTAT